TTTGGATCACTTAAACTTCATCACATGACAGTAGATTAAATCCTTTGTACCTTATTCACAAAAGTAATTTGCATTGAGTATTCATGTGGGAGTAAAGCAGGAAGGGTACAGCTTCAAAATAGAAGGAGGTTTTATTGCCTTTGTGTGATGTATTATTAAGAAAAAAGAACTGAAATCCCTTCAAAGCACTTTGTAGTGCTGCTTTTCTGCTAACTCCTGGTACCAGTTGTATTCTTAATACAACCACGGTGTTAATATGTTTATAGTGTCAGATAGGAAAGTGCAACACCTTTTAATCTGCAGTAGGAACAAAATCTGACTTAAGTTGTCGATTGTATTAAATAACCGTGTTTTGCGGGAGGCTTATGGATGTAGCAAATAGAGATTGGATTTTGAAAATATACAGGTACGATTTCTTTGAAGTGTATCACAAACTGAAGTAATCAGTTACCATATGACAAAAAATTACTTGTTTTAGACTCTTCTGAAGTATAACTCTTCTTTTTTCCTTCAGCCTCCTTGCTGTATCAGAACTCCCTTCTGCTGCGCACAGAACCAAGAAAGCATGACTGCAAAGTTAAAAAAGCAGCAATCTAATTGAGAGGGGAAGCTGCAGAATGCTGGACAAAGGAGGTGGAAAATGTATGTGAAGAGAGGAGATGGATAAGAGAGTAAGCAGTAAACGTGTGAATACTGAATGGTTTAGAGAAGGTAGCTCTGTAGGTAGCGCAGTCTATAACACAAGAACAAGAAAGCATCTCGTGAAGGGTGGCAAATCTAAAAGTTATCACATGCTGTACTTTTTCTTACTGCCTGTACATACGCTGCGGACCTCATTGCTACAGAACTGTTTAGAAAAAAAAATAGGATGTTTTAGCGGGTACTTCATGTGGGTAATACAAATATCAGGAGCCTGACAGTTAATGCCACCACCTTTTGGAATATAGATAAAATTTTGTACTCCGGGAATTAAAGCAATCTTTGATTTCTGGGGTCGGGATGAACCCATCGTGGTGGAGCAGGTTATCCAATGTATGTTTTCACTGTGCTTTTCAGCTGCTTTTGAAGTTGCTGGTCTTGGCTGCTGTCACGATGTTTGGCCTGAGGACTTTTTTTGCTTTATTATTGAAAATCTACATTTACGGTGTTAGGTGTACTACTAACAGTTTGATCAGGGTATCTCATAAAATAAGGGGCAGCATCGAAGAAACCATAAGGAAGCTTATTAGAAAAACAGCCAACTAATTGCTTGGGGCTGATCTCACTACCAAGTGGCTTCTGGTTGTTTACAGGAACAAAAGTATTTGAAAGATTTTTATAATTCACAGGTTGCTTTTTTTTTTTAAGTCATCAATCTTGCTTTATGGTGATAGAGTTGACTTTTTCAGCTGTTGGCCTGCAGTGGTGGGTTTGGTTTTGTTTGTCCTTTACATATGAAAACTGAAAGCTCGTAATGCCAAATAACTTCAAACAATATCTACACAAACTCAAGAAGTTGCTAAAGAATGATCAGCAGTTGGGCACCACCTTAGAACTTTTTAGACTAGAGATTAGAGAGAATTCTATATGGCAGTATATGCATTTTTTTTCTAAGTCATAGAGCCAGTCTGCCTTAGCCAAGGCTTCAACAAGATGAGGAGGGCAAGATGCAAGACAGACGATAGTCAAGAACAATCGGCGCCTAATAATTTTGTGGTATCTTGTGGTGTTTTGTGGTAGATGTGGTTTAGGTATATAATTTGTCACTTGTTAGGAAAGCTGTGAAAATTATCCCCCATATATTCTTCAGTACCCTTCCACCTGCAGCACAGGGAATAAAAAGGTAAAGGGATTTCTGAACGGCAAGGGTTGTGCTTACCTGCACCACTATCTCTTCACCTTCTTCCATGAGGTAGCAAAGCAGGGCCACAGAGAGCACCGCGAGATGTTTGTGATGAAAACGGCACGAAGGCAGACAGTGTAATATCTTAAAATATAGAACAGTCTTGCAGAGATTAAGGTGGAGTCCTATGGACAGTTTCTAGTTTTGCCTTCTGTTTTGAATGTGGGGGTTTTTTTTAATATTTTTTTAAGTATTTAAGAGGAGTGTTTTTGCACCAATGCTACAGGTGGATGGAGGATTACCTAGATGGTCCTGCCACTGACCGCTGGTAAGCAATTCTGCTCGTGCTGCACGTACCAGGAAATAAAGGTTCCAGCTCTCTCTTTCACCATTTAGCTGGCTGCCAGCGATTTAAAGAGCAGGAAAATAATTCTGTTTTCATGACAGTCGGTGTACCTGACTCTTCATGCTTGCTGAGGAAAGGTGGGTTTGCAGAGTGCAGAGACCTCTCCATAAATAGAGATGGTAGAGGAGGGTAAGTCCTACTCTGCATTTCATAATTTGCACTGGTGGAAAACTGGAGAAGTCAGCACTGTGGGACAAAGGGAGAGGAGGCAATTTCAAAGCGCTTCTGGGATTTGCGAGCACTGATTCTGTCCTGTGGCGCAATTGATGCGGATTTCTTTGATTTGAATAGCTCTTTGGTTATTGTCAACTTCAAGCACTGTGCTTCATGGATATACTAAGTTCAGTATCCTTAAGTTTAATCAGTATTGGCAAATTGACTTTAGAATGTCATTTGTTACGTGCTAATACATGCTGACACCAGGTCATTGTCAATTCCTATTTAAAATGGGTTTACATTTAGTATTAGAAAAATAATTCATTACAAAAGCTGTCCCTGAATCTTGGTTCCAGGAGTCAAACATACTACGTGCTGCAATGTGGGTTTTTTCCTTTTTACTAGGAAGCAGCACTGGGAGTGTGAAAACCATGTACTGCTCCAGCTGCATCTTTCCCTTTTCCAGAAGAGTTGTGTTTCCTTGTGTTTATCTTATACCTTATGTAGTATCTCCTTATGTTTATTTAATGTTTCCCCTTTTGGCATCAAATAG